ACATTAGTGTATTTAGTTTAAGAAAACTTTTCATTTTTGTTCTCTTGGCAATGTTTTTCATATTTTGTTACTTCTCCATAGGCAGTAATCATTATAACAGGAAATGATCATGCATATGTGCAGGTGTTGGATTCTTTTTCCTTTTATATAGTGTGTGATAACCATTTATTATATATAGTTTTGGAGCCTAATTGTATGGTTTAAATGATAATTATCATCTCCGCTGATTGAAAGGGTGAATCGAATTCAACTAATTATTACCATAATAATTCATATAAAAGAACTTGTCATAGTAATTTTTTCTATTTTATGCAAAACTTGTCACATAATATTTCATAAAAAGAGAACTCGTCCTAGTAATTTTTTGCTAGCCGTTAGTATATATTTTGTAGCCAATTGTAATGTATTAAATTGTTTAAGGACGCTTCTTAAAAAGAAAAATTGTTTGAGGTTGCATAGTATTGGAGATCAATTTTTGTTTTCTTGAAATTTAGATATCAAGTTAATCAGTTACTTAAAAATAATATGAAATTGTAATTACAGACATATAATCTAGCGGTAATTTTACAGCCGATTCCTTTGTAAGGTTACGAGTTAAAATACCCCATCTTTTAGTTCTAAAAAAATGATATAAAATTAATTAGTGGTTGATTGGTTGATTCTTTCTCAAAAATAGAAAAAATGTTATTTTATGCAGAATAATAAAGGGGGAAAGGAAAAAAGGAAGAAAGATAAATCCCAGGCCAAAATTGTATAGAGTCAGAGCAAGATAACTGACAATTGGATTTCCTTTAAAACTTATTTATTAAAAGAAAAATTGTTAGTAGGAATGATGAAAATATAGGGATCATTGAAAATATCAACACTCTAATTTTTAAAAAATACTAGAGAAAAAAAATGTGGAAATAAAATTTAAAAACGTTTTATTTTTTTAATATTTTTTTGAGGATTTTTTTCTAATATTTTAGAATTAGATAAACATTAAAACATATATAAATGAACAAGTTTTACCTAAGACATTTTATACGTATTAGATGAAATTTTAATATTGAAAGGAAGTTCTATATAGTTTTTAAACATGGTAAAGATTCTTTCTTGATTTAAAAAACACTCGTGCTAGAGATGTTGTTTGAATAGTGTTAAGTATATAATTGTGAGATTTCTTCGTATAAGTGTATTAAGTAGGAGACAAAAATCACTTATTACATTATAAAGTGTAAATAAAATTAAAATACAAGAAACATCATACTTTCAATATATTAATTTTTTTTCAATATATCTTTCACAATTCTCCAATATTTCTTATAACTTTGTGCAAAATATACTACAATTTCATCCAAATAGGTATTTGAAGTGCTATTACCAATATTAACATTTTCTCAAACTTTTGATTTAAAAAAAAAAAAACTCAAAAGATGTTTTCATAATTAAAAGATAATCATTTTTTTTAAGCTTAGAGTGGGAGCTCGAACACATCACTTTATAAGAGTTTAACGTAGAATTACTGTTAAGATTATGCTTACAACTACGATATTAATTCCTTTTGAGAATGCAATTTTAAAAAAATAAAAAATAAAAGCTCTTATTATAAATAAAATTTTACACAAGTACATCACAGTCCTTCATTACAGAAGGTGAATGGACTCTCTTTCCAGAGGCATTTTGGTCATTTAATCAATTGCTCTCAATTCAGTTACCTACCGTGTACGGTCGAAAATGCCAGGGCTTGTTTGTTTCCAACATTAAAATTATGATTCTTAATTCTGTTATAGTATTTTTTTGTATAAAAATTTATTTTAAATTTTAAAATAAAAATTTATAAATTAAACGATTTTAAAGCCGATCATAATTTCTTTATGATATGGTTTTGTTCACTTTATAAATTTAAATTTTTAATTTAATTTAATATATAATATTTTTTAAGAATTTTAAATTATAATAAAAAAAATTATATGTGATATTTTTTAAAAATTTTTAATTATAAAAATTAAAAATTCAAATAGTAAAATTTACGAGATTAAAAGATTTGAATAAATAAATTGAAATTCTTTTTGTTTTCCTTTTTCTTCCTCTGTTTTTATATATATACACATATTTTATATCTTTCTATGAATTTCCATTTTCTTCTGCCTGGCTTGTCGATTGCTGTTCTTCTATTACTTTGATCGTCCCAGTTCCGGTCTCAATTTTGATCGCCATGTCCAAAAGGTGATTTCTTTTTCGTGACGAATTTTCTTTTTTTGAATGTTTCGGAATGTTTTGGTTTGGGAAATGATTGGTTGTATTGCAAGTTGATTCATTTTTGTTGTTGTCGTGAAGAAATTCTTTTTGAATTTTTTATGTGTTTGAGTTTAATCAGGGGAAAAATCGATAATCCATATGTTTGAATACTTAGGGTTTATTTGTTGATTGGTTTGAGTTAGAAGAATGTCAAGTTCGCCCCTTTTCGATTAGATTGTCGTTTGATTCTGGGATTGGGGATTTTTTTCTTGTTTGTTGTGTTTGTTTTCTTGGTATTTCTGGTGTAAAATGAAACTTGACTACCAAACTGAAAAATGAAACTGGGAAATATATTATTTTGATGAAGATTTTGTGCTCTCTAGTCTTTCCAAGTAATAGAAATTTGGATATCAAACTGTAAAGAAGTGTTTTTTTATTTGTTTTGTACTTTGGTTCTGTGCATAGGGCTCGAATACCATTCTGTTTTTTATGAAGATTTTGTGCACTCAAGTATTCATGGTTCTTTGCAAGTTCTTTATGGAATTCGGCTAACAAACTGGAAACAAAAAAAAAAAAAAAAAAAAAAAAAAAAAGTTTTTTCGTTTTTCGTTTATCTTATTCTATTCATAGATAGGGCCATGAAACTGGTTAAGATATTATCTTTATGAATATTCTTTGAAATTTTCAGGGTTCTTTGCAAGTTCTTTGCCCATGGAGCGTGTCTGAAGGGGGAGCATTGTGACTTTTCACATGATTGGAAGGCTCCTCCTAATAATGTAGAGAGTACATTACTTTTAATAACTCAATTTTAGACTGTATTTTAGTTTTGGTTAGAGACTCATTTATGTGTGTCTTTTCTGGTTTATCATCACAGATTTGCACCTTCTATCAGAAAGGATTCTGTGCTTATGGTAGCCGATGCAGATATCAACATATTAAGCCTTCTCAATCTCAATCCTTCACACCGTCTTCATCGACAAGCTCTCAGCAAACTCCTGTTTCTGATCCTTCATGTACTTCGTCGAGTGGGGTTGCTCTAGTCCCGGGAGCCCTTACAGAGCTCTCTGCTTCAGGTAGGACTTCCGTTCTTCCCAAACAACCCGTGTGGAAGAAAAAGTATGACCAACATGAGTTTCTAGAGGATGAGGATGTTGGTGAGCCTACAAGTCTTAGACCGGCAGATCATCCTATATGTTCATTTGCTGCGGCCGGTGATTGTCCTCGTGGAGAAAAATGCCCTCATATCCATGGAGACTTGTGTCCCACATGTGGAAAGCGTTGCTTGCATCCTTTTAGACCTGAAGAGAAGGAGGAGCATCTGAAAATGTGTGAGAAAAAGCAGAAGCATCTCGAAGCGTTGCAACATAGTCAAGAAATTGAATGCAGTGTTTGCTTGGAGCGTGTTCTTTCAAAGCCCACAGCAGCTGAACGGAAGTTTGGATTGATGTCAGAATGCGATCACCCTTTCTGCATATCTTGCATTAGGAATTGGCGAAACAGTTCACCGACTTCCGGTTTGGATGTCAATAGTGCATTAAGGGCCTGCCCAATATGTCGCAAGCTATCATATTTTGTGGTTCCAAGTGTCATTTGGTACACCACAAAAGAGGAAAAACAAGAAATTGTTGACAGCTACAAGTCAAAGCTCAAGTAAGTTTCTACCCCTCTTATCCAGTTATTCTTTGGATTTCTTATTTGGGTATTGCAATGAAAAATGAGTTTGTTTTTCTTTTAACAATGCGAAAAGCTTTGATGTGTCTCATGTTGTTGAGGTGGAAGAAAACAATCTGACGAATTGAAATTAATTTATTTTTCTCTTGTAGGTCAATTGATTGCAAGCACTTTGACTTTGGTAATGGGAATTGCCCCTTTGGGACCAGTTGTTTTTACAAGGTAATATACTGCGAATAATTATTACTTGCCTGTTAATTTTTGTTCATGTAGCACGATTAGGCCTCTGTGGAATGCTCTGAGGATACATTTTTTGTTTGAGATTTCTAATCCACAGCTTAGTCAGTCTTCAATGGTCCTGTTCTATTTTCTTTCTCTGAGCACTTGCATAATATATATATATATATATATTCCTTTTTTATCTTTGACATATATGTTGTTACAATGTGCAAATTATTGGATTCATGCTTGACTTAGAGTTCATTGGGGTGATCTTGTTATAATGTTATTTGTTTTGGCTGCCTTATATTTCAGGCCAGTATGGGCTGAAGTGAGATTAGACGGCACTAGTATTATGTATACATGTTTGTGTCAGATAATTATATTTGTTCCCCAATTCAGTCGTTAACTTGTAGAGATGTGATTTACTTTTTCATGCATGATTAGTTTAAGTCGCTAACTGAGAAACTATTCTTTTCATGAATAAACGAGTGCTTATCCTTTGGTGTCCTTTAGAGGGTTGAGCCTAAGCTGGGTTGAAGCTCACTTAAATAATTCGGACTTTGGCCCTATAATTCGAAATTCATGTCAGAATGGACTGAATCCAGTCAGCCGGAACATATTGCAGGCTGGGCGTCAGAAGCCTCATCAAGGCCTTAGACAAAGTTGTTTGGTAAACATTATACCCTTGGCTTAAGGTGATATTAGCGTCCTTGTGGTTGTAGAATTGAGAGTGGCTAGGTGTGAAGGGAAAGGAATGAGGAGAGCGCATTTACTTGTATTATATTGTATCATGCACCTTTCTTTTCTGTCTTTTACTTTCATGAAGGAGAGTATTCGCTTTACTAGTCCTTTAATGGGTAGAATATTTGTTGTGTGTTCCAGCATATGGTCAGGCCAGGCTCCTATGTATGGAAATATCACAGGCCACCACCTCGAAGGCCGACTCCACGCAGATCTGATGCTGTGGATAATATGGAGCAAGCCGTGGATTTGGATACTATTATCGAAATGGGTGATCTTTTAGAAGATCTAATGGACTGTTATATTCCCGGTGAAGATGATTTAGACTTTGATGAAGATATAGACCCGCTCAATAATTTAAGCCATTTTGAGATGGCCTTCATACTTTCGCAGATGGGTACCAATGAGATTGACTCATCGAGTGATGATGAGTTTTTTTTCTAGCACAGGCCAGGCTTGTTTCTAGATTAGACAGTTGTAAACGCTTGAAAAACAATTTCCCCTTTTTGGATGTTGGAATTGGAATTGTTGCCATATTTGGGCATTTGAGGGCCTATAATCCTCACGGTCTCCCAGGGACTGGAGGATGCTTGTAGTATTTTCTGGACCTTTTATTTTTTTAACTACAGTTACTCATATCAAAGTTGAAAATTTCTAATTTATTAGCCTGGACTGGGGCTTTTATATTCGCTGCTGCTCTTTTGGTGCTTGTTACTTTCCTCTGTGCTTTTGTTCTTTCTTTTCTTTTGCACACAATACTTATTACTTTAGATAAAACCACATCCTCATATCATTGAGTATTGAACATGGATGTTCTCTCTCGTTGCAGCATGCATATCGCGATGGCAGTTTGGAGGAGGTAGTTTTGCGTCATCTTGGCAATGAAGATGGTCAAACTGTGATTGCTAAAAATATTAGGTTCTATGCTGTGCTTCGCAATTTTTTTCCTCCTTAAATCTAGAGTATCGTTAGTGGTGAAGCATTACCATATATGTGGCAATACAACAAGAGTTGCATGGCCAACGGTACACCAATTGGTCCCAAACTGCTACTTGGCAGTTCTGATACTCCAAGAATGCGGTGAATTATCGAATTATCTCACCTATAGTGTACATAACGTCTTCCAAAATCGCTATTTAACATTTTCTCTATTATCTTAACAGTTTGATATGCATTGCTATATAAATATGCTTTATGCTTTACTGTGTGTATAGCATCGCCATGTATAAATCGCATGGCGAAAAAGTATGATAGTTAGGTCTCACACCTATTACTAGTGATGCAATCACCATTCGTGTTAGATATAACTTCTTTTATTCTTTTTCCCTAAATCTGTTCTTTCACTAAATTTTGTGTATTCTCAGGCTGTCGGACTTTTTAAGTGAAATGCATATAGGGTGATTCCCCAGTGTAAGTTTTCAACATTTCGAATTTGCCTTTTTTGCTTCATAATGGCTTCTGATACATAACAGCTTCTTAATTTGCTTTTGTTGTTCGCCTTCTTTTGCAGCTGTGCTAGAATTAGTTTACTGTCCTTGCCTTGCTAAATATGCAGGGTAATTTACTTGTATGTTGAGAAAGATACATGAGATTTCTTTCCTTGAAAAGTTTTCTTTTGCCGGTTGTACGCTTCCCTTCCTTACAAGGTAATAATTATTAGTCAATCTTGAGACTTCCATAGAAAATCCTGAAAAATTATCAACAATCTTGAAAACGTGCATTAAACGTAATTCTGAACAATTATATCTTCATCGAGTTCTATCAAATTTGTCTACTTTATTGATTTTGATACGATATTGATGCGATATGAAAGCTCGGAGATGTATATTATCTGTTGAATGCAACTCGATTTGATCGTTGTGTGTTGATGTTTCTTTCTGGTTTCTAGATTAGTTTTGTTGGAGAGCAATACGATGGTGGAAGAGTTTTAGCCTGGTTATGCAGTCTCATAAAGTTGGCTTCATATGAAGTGATAAAAAATAGAAACTGGTTTGGAGTAAACAATTATTATATACATAAAGAATGATGGATGATGATTACATAACAGGAACAGCTGAGGAGTTTGATCATCAAACCCTGTCAAATCTCAACGGCTTCCAATGGTGAAATTTTGAATAAATCTCTTGTGGACTGTAATAATCGAATATTTATGTTCTTCATCATGTCTCTTGTTTTGCTTCTCAAATATAACTGTTTTTGACAACTGTTTAGATTTTGCATGCCCTACATTTTATTTTCATTGCCGCCATTAATGGTGTTTGGATATTTGTTATTAATACAAAAGAATTTTGCTTTAGATTCTTTACACTGGTTTATTAATTTTTTATACCACCAACTCACAATAATCTTGAAATATATATTCTTTTCGATTTTCTTTTTTATATTAACTAACATGATTTTTTTTAACGCAAGCATTTTTACCAATTATATTAATTGGTAACAAAAAGTTAAAATAAAATGTAGGACACCCTTAACGTTATTCCTTAACTATGCTGTTCAATACAATTCAACTGTCACCTGAATTTGGCATAAGAAGATTATAATAAAATAGTTAATAGTTGTAATTAAGAGGGTCCAATGTGTAATCAACGTGCTTTAAGGGGTGAAACAATTTCTTCCCCCTGAAACTAGAAGCGGTATCTTGGACAAGGACTTTTCGTATCCACTTTTGTTGTCCTAAGAAAGTTGGAAATGAATCCTTAAAAAAGAAAGGGAGTTTCTCTAATAGTCTTTGTAAAAATAGGACTATCGATTTTTTTACTTTTTAGTCATCATATCAGTATTAGAATCTATTTATTATGCATTCTTTTTTAATTGGACTTTTCGTATCCACTTTTGTTGTCCTAAGAAAGTTGGAAATGAATCCCTAAAAAAGAAAGGGAGTTTCTCTAATAGTCTATGTAAAAATAGGACTATCGATTTTTTTACTTTTTAGTCGTCATATCAGTATTAGAATCTATTTATTATGCATTCTTTTTCAATCTGATGTGATTTTAACAAGATTCAACAGTCGAAAATTGAGACTATCAGTAAGGAATGACTACTGGAGAGAAATATTCTAATTAAAGAACAAGAACACAGTAAAACAATATTGCCTCTTATCGTGTCTTCGATGCAGCGTATACTTTGTCCTTCACTAAACTTGGATACAAACAGACCATAAACCGTTTAGTTCATAAGTGATCCCATTTCAACCAGGCTTTTGCCTGTGCCAACAACTCTTGAAATGGTCATCAATAAGCTTATGAGATGCCATTGGTTAGTTGAGGAGTAAATACACAATAAAAATGAGTAGAAATTACAAGGACAAGGTGATTGGTTGTTTGGCTGAGGAGAAAAGTGATTTTTATTATTAAATAAATTATTAATAATAATAATAATAACCTAGTAATCAAACTTAATACACCAATTACTCTCTACATGCATAGAATGTTCAACTAGTATCCAAGAAGAAAGAAGTAAAAAAAATTGGCCACTAAATGCTAATAAAAGATAACGAAAATAGTCATAATTTAATCGAACATTCATAGGTTCGAGTACATGGTTCCTCTCCCCGTGTGAAGAACCGTCTGAACAACCTCCCCATTTTATTCTTTAAAAAAAAAAAAAAAGTTATTGCCACTGTTAATCTCCAAACTTTTAATTTTAATATATTAGTTTTTACACTTTTAATTTTTTGACAATTTCGGTCCTTAAAATTTAAATTGACGAATAATTTCTAAAATTTAATTTAGGTAAACACATTATCGTATAGTGACCGAAAATTTTACACATACAGTTACAATATGTGCAAAATATTTTAATTTTAAATAGGTTCTAATAGTAACCAAGAGAGAATTTTGCATACAAATTAATTTTTTTTATAAAGTTTTAAGTTATCATGCGATGGATACATAATTATTTTTGTTAAATTTCAAAAATTATTTATCAATTTTAATATCAGAAAACAAAATCGTTAAAGAAATGAAAACTCAAAAACTAATATGTCAAAAATAAAGTTCGTGGAAAAAATATCGCTATACTCAAAATTAAGGGACTAACAATACTAATTATATATATATAAAAACCTAAAATTATAAAATATGTTATTATTTTCACAGTTAGTAATTATGCTATTTGGGCACTTTACAGAAATACTAAAACACAAAACTTAAATGATGTTATTATGGTATATTTTATAATATTTTTAATACCTATAATAAAAATCAATCCAATTTTAAAAACTATAGCATATTATCTAAATATCTCATGCTTATTTACCACAAAGTCGCACACGTACGGGGGAGAAAGTCAAGGACTTGGGCCCAAAAAAAATAAAACAAACAAAATGAGCTTAATTAAAGCCAAACCCAACAAGATTTTCCTTTTTTTTTTTTTTGAGAAAATTACAAAAACTAACCCTTAAAATACATTCTTCTGGATTTCTACCATTTTATTGTGATAAACTATCCCTTTAATAATAATCTATCAAATTATAAATAATAAATTTTCAAATTGTAAATAATAATCTTTTATATTAATTTGATAAATAATAAATTTTCAAATTGTAAATAATAATCTTTTATATTA